GTATTTTTTTATAAATGGCAAAGAGACCTAATATTAAATTAAAAAAATTAATATTTCAAAGTGAACTTGAAAAGTTTTAACAGACTATGGTCTAATTAAATATCAAGACATAGGGACGTCTTATTAAATTGATACTAATTACAAGTCTTATATAAAAATTGGTAAATTTGATGTTTTGAACAACCCTCCAGTTCTCCACTCCACTCTTTCATTTTTTTAGTGAGCCCCATAGATATCATTCCCGTTTCCAAAGACACAAAGACCCTGTGTAAGATTACCACTTTGCTCATCTAGATTGTATTAGAATAAGGTGGATATCCATCAGTCATGCATAATTGTACTACCCCTATCAATGTTACATTAAACGCTGGGCGTTTCTAGGCGTCGGACTTGACGCCTAGCGCTTAGTAGCCTAAGCGGGTGCTTAACGGTTTCTGGGCGTTTTTTTCTTTTTTATTTTTTTAATTGTGATACTTGAAGATAAATATATATATACTCAAGTTTAGGATCCCTTCAAATCATCAAATATGTATCTTTAGATTTTCTAGGTTTTTCTTTAATTTTTCTTTTTTTGAATATTTATACATATCTAAATCAGACCGCTATTTGACTTTATGCTTTTTATTGTTATTTTACCGCAATAGTCCCAAATAGTCTTAACAGTGCTTCACTGCTATGCGACACTATCCGCTATCGCTAACCTTGATCCTATACAACAATGAAAATCAAGTTTAAGTACAAATTCTGTGCTAGACTTGTCATTACCAATAAAAGGAAATGTGAAGTCAGATGAAAATATATATTTGACGTGAGCAAATCCTCCAAAGCAGCAACAATCAATTTTGTTCACCCTTGAAATTTATTGAAACATCAAGTAACTAGGATTACTGTTATGAACTAGTGAAACACAACTAGAGAAGTTGTAGTACCTTGATTAATAAATAAAAGAATCAAGGACATAAGAAAGCTTAAAAATGGATGTTAGAATAGTGAAAAAATTAAGAACATGAAATTAATCGAAATCAAATTACAGATTGACATTAACAAGTATTGTCAAATGCTCTGATCAACATCATCAATTGAGAATGATGCATGCTATATTGGGAAAGAATGACTTGGCCACATGATTCAAGCCTACCACGACTCAAACCTATTAATCCATTCAATAACGGATGTGATGCTGCAAAGTGTATATGATTTATAGAACATAAAGGAGACTAATTATCCTTCGGGTAAATCATATAAGCTATTAATACATATCATTCAAAACAACATCTCATATGGAGATAATCTTCATATACTTTTAATAGTAATAAAAGATATCAAACATATTTTATTTTAGTATGAATAGCTATGAGAATGGGTGAAGCAGAGTATCTTGCAAAATATGATTATGAAATTAGGAAGTAATAATCTAAGGAGTCCCCTATCATAACTAACAAAAAGAACTCTAATGAATCCTTCTGCAACTCTTATCTAGTAAACTAGCTCAATTTGCTAGCAAAACATACTTGACCAACCGGTTTAGTTTATCACCACTATCTTAAACCAACCTAGATAACTTTAGTTTGCATAATTCTTCATATATGCATCACTTTGACAGAATCTGCAATTTGAATAGAACATGATCTACAATCTAGAGTAAATAAAGAATTAATAGGCATGACATTTGAGAAGAAACCAACAAGAAGATGAATTTTTTTGTTTGTACCTTTATGTGATTAGGAATTTCTACGATACTAGTCACTTAGACAAACTTACACAAGATGAAAGACCCAATATCTTAATAATTCAATACGATTGTTTTGCCGGCTAAAATACTATGTTTATTATTCGAGTAAACACAATATGTATACTATAAGGTGTGATTATAGAAAAGCTAAAAGCATTTTGGTGGTGGAATGTTTTGTCTATCAACTTATAGTTATTGGATTTCTAATGAGTAAAATCTAGTATATCATGCAATTGGCCTATAAATCTAAGTTACAACATGCAATGCAAATGTTATTAAAGAAAAATTGTAAAAAATAATCATCAGTGACATCTTTTTTGGTAACAATCATAGATAACTTCTTAAGAAAGGAAGAATCTATTGGAATACTTAAAAAATTCATACAAATAAGTCCATTCAAAATAAGCAAAACTCATTTCCCATGAAAGATGCAACTTTATTAACCTTGGGTCAAATTTCAAATATTACTAATACATACATATCTATCAATGCTGAAATATACATCGCTTAGAAAAGACCTAACCATAATGATGTCCTAAAAATATATTTAAAATATCCTACTATTCATTAATACTCTATGAAATTGGAAAAAATAAACTAGTACAACGTACTTGATAATCCGAGAGGAAGTGTTGCCCATAATCATATATGAGAGTAAAGGAGAGCATTTCTTTTAAATATCTCGACTAATAGTCAGATGTTAATATTAACTTGAACAGAAAGTGACAACATTATACAAATGAGGTTTAGTATAGTGTAGCATTTCCAGCTTGATAAAGCCATAAGTAAGGTCTTCGTTTTAACTAAATCTATAGGGAATATAGTGAATAATGGTAAAGAAAGAAGTTATCATTGCATTCGTGTCATCGGGTACCATATAATCCATATAATGACTAGTATTACTATAGCATATCAAATTGAGAACACTTTCTAAGTTTTTGTACTCATTTCTTGAGTTCATAGAAGAATAAAAATTAAAGATTGAATTGTTTGTAAATTTAAGCAATGTTACAGAAAGCTCTCGACATAGGCACTTGACTGGGGCCTAGCACCTAGGAACCTAGGCATAAGCCTAGATTGAGCCTAAGCGTTTTCCTATTTTTTATTATGTAATTATAGCCTAGGCATTTTCCTATTTTTTATTTAATTATAGTAATTGACAAAATGACTAAAATAGTAAATTACCTTAAAGATGGCTTGAAGAGAAGAGTAGGTGGTTGAGGTGGTGGGTGGAGAGGACTGTGGTAGCGTTGAAGAGAAGAAGTGGTGGCTGTAGTGGTGACTCAAAGAGAAGAGATGACTAAAGGAGGTGGTGGTCGAGTTGGCATCTACAGAAGAGGAGAGTTAAGC